TCTTTCTTTCTTCTTCTTTTTTTTTAAAGCCAGCATCCTTCAGGTAGAATTCACTTGTCGTAAAGTCTCCACAGTCTTCTTTCTTTCTTCTTTTTTTTTTTTCTAAAGCCAGCATCCTTCAGGTAGAATTCACTTGTCGTAAAGTCTCCACAGTCTACACAAGAATGGTGTGTTACAGAAACTAACCTCTGGCTCTGCGCCATCAGCAGTCACTGCCCTTCTCTCTCACTCCTGGCAGCCACTCATCTCCCTGTCCATACACTCTTATGAATTAAGGGTTGTTCTTGGTTTTGTTATTTGTGATATAGTGTTTGTTTCTTGATTTTTGAAGACAGAGTCTTACTACATAGCCCTGGCTGGCCTGGAATTTGCTCCGTGGCCCATGTTGGCCTGGAACTTGCAACGATCCCCTCACCTTTCCCCCCAGTGCTGGACTACAGCCATGTACCACCATGCCTACCAAGAGGCATTCTTCTGGAGTGGCTGCCTGTTGTCCCTGCATCAGGGGCTGACAAGTCTTTCTCACTGTTGTGAGACAGTTGTCTTGGCTCCCTTGTGAAAATTGGCTGGCCATGAATTAAAGCATCCACTTCTGGTCCCCCATCGCACGGTGCTGGTCTACACATCTGCCCTTGTCCAGCACCTTCCTGCCAGGGCTGCTGTGACTTGTAGTAAATTCTGAAGTTGAAAGATGAGTCCTCCGGGATTGCTCTTCCCCTTCCAAATTGCTTTCGTCTCTGAGTCTCTTAGGTCCATAAGAACTTCTGGGTCTGGACTTTTGGCTGGGAACATGGACTTTGTCAGATCATTGAAGTCTGATTTAGCAATTCCCCCCCACCCTGCTTTCAGTGGAAAGGTCTGGTGCTGTTTGTTACCCTCATTCCTGACAATTTTCTTCTTTTTTGTGCTATTGTTATTTCTTTTATTATTATTAAGATTTATTTTGTTTTTTAATGTGTGTGTGTGTGTCTGCATGTGTGTGTCTGTGTGTGGGTATGTGGATGTGCACACAGTGCCTGTGGAGGCCAGAAAAGGGTATTGGATCCCTGGAGCTGTAGTTACAGGTGGTTTTGAGCCATGGACTTGGGTGCTGGGTCCTGAACTCTGGTCGTTTGGAAGATCAGTGCATACTCTTAACCACCGAGCCGTCTCTCTAGCCCCTGATTAAATTATTCTACTTTATTTTATATGTGTGTGAATGCTATGTCTGCATGTATGTAAGTGCACCCATGTCGTGCAGTGTCCATGAAGGACAGAGAGCACATCAGATTCCCTGGAACTGGCATTATGGATGGTTGTTAGCCACCATATGAGTACTGGGATTTAAACTCAAGTCCTCTGCAAAAGAAGCCAGTGCTCTTAACCTCCGAGCCGCCTTTCCAGTCCTCCAGCTCCTAACAGTAATACCTTTTATCTTCAGGGCCAGGCATGGTGGTCCACACCTTTAATCCCAGCACTTGGGAGACAGAGGGAGGCAAGTCTCTGTGAGATTAAAGCCAAACTGGTCTACACAGCAAGTTCTAGGCCAGTTGGGGCTACAGGGAGACCCTGTCTCAAAAAAATCCTTTACCTCTAATTGAACTCTCCAGGATCAAGACCTGTGAGCTACTGATGGCTGTAGCCTTAGCAATTAGCTTCTGGGGAGGATGACTGAGTCCTGGGGTGCGGCGTGCCAGCCTGAGGCGGCAGCACTGACTCCAGGATCCCATTGGCAGCCCACTTCTTGCCTGAGGGTGTCTGAGTGCAGACAGATCCTCTTGTTGGACTTAAGGCCCGACCCTGAACCCTGCCCCCAAACAACTGATATACAGGTGTCTGAGCGTGTGGGGACTCTCTGTGCCCTGATGGCCGGGGTCCCCATTAGCTAGCCCCTGGCGACTGCATGTTTTCTGAACTCTCCGCCCAACCCCCATTCCTCACAGGTGTGAATTTCAGTATGGACCAGTGCAGTCCCAATGGCACAGACCCCTACAAACCCAAGTGCCCTGAGAGCGACAGGACGGGGCAGGCGCCTGCCTTTCCTGAGTGGCTGACGGTCATCCTGCTCTGCCTCTACCTGCTCTTTGCCAACATCCTGCTGCTCAACCTGCTCATCGCCATGTTCAAGTGAGTGCAGGCATGGTGTGGGTGGGCTATGTCGGGCTAATGCCTGTGCAGGACCTGGCTTTTCTGGGTTGTGAGTGCTCAGGCAGGGCAGGGCTTTGCAGCACCAGTTCCCAGCACCATGTAGGCTGCTCTCCTGGAGGATCCTGAGGACATGCCATGAGCCTGGGATCCAGGCTGCCACCCCACAGAGGCTCTTGACATTCTGATAAGAATGTGCATGTCACACCTCACCGGTCTCTGCTGATCCTGTGGAGCCATCCAGCATGCAGTGTCACTGTGCCCAGGGGGCCCGCAGCACCCCACGTGCCGTGCTCAGCCTGTGGTGTCTGCCAGGTAGTTTGTGTTGACCTCGCTCTGGTTGAATGACTAAGAGAGGGGCACTCTCACCCACACTGCTCTTCCTGGGGGCGTGCCGTGGCCACTAGCTACTCAGGACTGTCTTGATGCCCCTGAGGGTTCTGCCTGTGCCCCTGCCCCCTGGATGCATGCCTGTGCCCCAGCAGTCATAAGGACTGATACAGTATAGCCATTTCTCCTCTCTGGAAATTGCTAGAATTTTCTTTAACTCATTGGTATTTTGAAGCATTCCATCTTTAGAGGACTTTTAGAATATTTGCCATTTTTGTCTGTGAAAGGTAAAGTACAAATGGGATCTGTCCCACTGGTCGGGTGATGTCCTAGTTTATCTCTCCATTGCTGTGACAAAACACTCTGACCAATACCAGCTTGGGGAGGAAAGGATTTATTTGGCTTATATCTCCTGGGTCACAGTTCATCAGGGAGCCCAAGGTAGGAACTCAGGGCAGGAGCTGGAGCTCAGGCCATGGAGGAACGCTGCTTACTGGCTTGCTCCCCTGGCCCCTGCTGAGCCTGTTTTTTATGCAACACAGGCCCACCTGCCCAGAGGTGGCACCACCCACAGTGGACTGGGCCCTCCCACATCACTCAACAATCAAGAAGATGCCCCACAGACATGGCCACAGGCCAGTCCAACGGAGGCAATTCCCCAGTTGAGGCTCCCTCGACCCAGGTGTGTCAAGTTAACACTAAAGCTATCCAGCACAGGAGAAATCTGTGTTCTTGGGCCCCGCCTCCCCCCATTCAGTGTCAGGTCAGCGGTGGCAGCTGATGGGCCCAGGCTGTGGGGACCATTGTACTCTGGAAGGTTTTAAACTTGGGACAGGGGCTAGAGATGGTGTATCGGTTACCGTTTCTGTTGCTGTGATAAAACACTGACCAAGGGAACTTACACAAGGAAGAGTTTATTTGAGTCTACGGTTCTAGAGGACTCAGAGTCCATCATGGCAGTGAGACATGTGAGGTGGCTGGAGCAGTAGCAGAAAGCTAAGTGCTCACATCTTCTCTCACAGCAGAGAGCGACTGGAAATCCGGCAAGGCCTGAGAGCACTCTAAGCCAGCCCCCAGTGATGTGCTTCCTCCAGCATGGCCAGACCCCCTAAAACCTCCCAAAACAGCCTATGGGGGACATTCTCATTCAAACCATCACAGATGGCTCAGTGGTCGGCCTCAGTGGGCAACTATGCACGCGTGCACACACACACACACACACACACACACACACACACACACACTTTTAAAGCTTTGAGCTTCAGACAAAGAGAATGCCTCATGTAGAGGCACAAGAAAAGAACTCCAGGAAGCCAACTACTCACCCTCAGCATTGGAGACTAGGCCCCATAATCCTGGCCGCTGACCCTGGAGCCCCAGGCCCATGGCTACTCTGACAGCAAACACCTCAGCCACGGAGGGCACAGCCTGCCCCTGGTGAAACCCTCAGGCCCTCAGCCCTCCTGACCTCTGCAGACAGGCTCAGAGTGTCGGTGACCTTTGAAAGCCCCTCTACTGTGGTGGTCACCATGTCTGGGCACCATGTCTCCCCTCTCATCTCCCTCCTGACCTCTGCAGACAGGCTCACAGTGTCGGTGACCTTTGAAAGCCCCTCTACTGTGGTGGTCACCATGTCTGGGCACCATGTCTCCCCTCTCATCTCCCTCCTGACCTCTGCAGACAGGCTCAGAGTGTCGGTGACCTTTGAAAGCCCCTCTACTGTGGTGGTCACCATGTCTGGGCACCATGTCTCCCCTCTCATCTCCCTCCTGACCTCTGCAGACAGGCTCAGAGTGTCGGTGACCTTTGAAAGCCCCTCTACTGTGGTGGTCACCATGTCTGGGCACCATGTCTCCCCTCTCATCTCCCTCCTGACCTCTGCAGACAGGCTCAGAGTGTCGGTGACCTTTGAAAGCCCCTCTACTGTGGTGGTCACCATGTCTGGGCACCATGTCTCCCCTCTCATCAGCTGAGTTTGGGGACCACCTCTTCTGTTTGAGGGTGTCCTAGGATCTGAGGTCTGAGGTCAGGGTGTTGGGCAGGACCCTGTCCCTGGGGCAGGAAAAGCCATCTGATAAAGCGACATGTCTCTCGCTTGCTCCCAGGATTCTGTCAGACTTGGCTATGCTGGGGCCCACCCACGAGACACCTGAGACACTGTCCTCTGCTTACTGGAATCACCAGATACTAAACTCCACGGAGCTTGATGCCCGAGACTGTTCCCTCACAGATGCTTGCTCATAAATCTAAATTCCACATCATCTCCTGTCCTTCACTGCTCCCAGAAGGCCAGTGTGCCTCTTGGCATCGAGCTCGCCTCCTGCTCGCCTGCTTCTGCTGTCCCTCGGGTGGCCACGGGGCACGTGGCTGCCGAGAGCAGCACACGCGTGTGCTGTGTCCTGCAGACATCCTGATGTGCGTGCCTCTGCCTCTTTCTTGCCAGCTACACATTCCAGGAGGTCCAGGAGCACACGGACCAGATCTGGAAGTTCCAGCGTCATGACCTGATCGAGGAATACCATGGCCGGCCCCCCGCACCGCCACCCTTCATAGTCTTCAGCCACCTGCAGCTTCTGATCAGAAGGGTGGTCCTGAAGATCCCAGCCAAGCGGCACAGGCAGCTCAGTGAGCACCCCGCCCCATTGCGCGGTCCCACCATCCCATCCCAGGTGCAGAAGAAGACACTGGGGGCAGGGGTGGGTGCGGCTCCTTCTAGATCCCCGGGCAGTCGGAGGCATGCTGACTTCTCATGCCGCTGGACTTCCCTTGGCATGTGCCAGCAGCCCCCTAGGCTTGGGGCATGGGGTGATGGGCCACTCCCACGGGAACCTGGGTCCTATTGTTATCAGGTCCCTGTTGACCCTGCCCCACCCACAGAGAACAAGTTGGAGAAGAACGAGGAGGCGGCCCTCCTGTCCTGGGAACTCTACCTGAAGGAGAATTACCTGCAGAACCAGCAGTACCAGCACCAGCAGCGGCCAGAGCAGAAGATCCAGGACATCAGCAAGAAGTATGGAGACCCCATGGGTAGCACCCCTGAGCCATGCCCTGCAGTGCCATAGCCCTAAGTGCAGACCACAGGGGAAGGCCGTGCTCGTGCTATGGGAGAAAAAGCTGGACGTCTGTGCACAGACTAGCAAACGGGACTCCTGTGCCTGCCTCAGCAGCAAGGGAGATAGAAAGAGCTTTGGCTCTCCCTCCATCACCATCATCATCACCACTGTGGCCCTTACACTTCTGCGGGCCGTGCCCAGCAGCTAAGCCATGGCTTTCCAGGCTTCTGAGGAAGGCTGCCCCTTACTTTCACCCCAGAACACAGGATGGGCCAGACTGGGAGGTGAGCCTTGGGGGGTTGGAGGACATAAGTCCCTGCAGGAGACCAGGTGGGAGAAAGCGGGGACCGTGCATACGTGTGGAGTTCAGGATTGGGAGGGATGCCTGTGACCTTTAGGCGCTGCAACTTTGGGGCCTCAGAGCCCAGCCCCAGTGTATTGGCCACACCAGTCCCGCGTCCTGTTCTACATCTTTTCAGGGTAAGAGGTCAGTGCTGGGGAAAGATCTTTCTGGTCTCTTTTTCTGTTTTCTGTCCCCAGTTCCTCAGTCGTGGTGGGTGTCTGTAGGGTCTGACTGCCAAGCAGCAAGCATCAGGAAACCTGGACTCAGGGGCTTCATGTCTCACTGGGGTCAAGTGATGGGATGACCCCAGTGAGACCTGTCTGGCTCCAGGCTCCTCCTCCAGAGAGGGGAAGGGGAAGAAAGGTCACGGTGCCATCTGGCTAAAGTAAGTCATGGTGATGGTGATGATAGTGATGGTAACGGTATTGATGGTGACGATGATGATGATGACGGCGATGATGGTAATGACACTGTTATGCGATGATTGTGGTGATAATGGTGATGGTGATGGTGGTAGTAGTAGTGATGACGACATTGATGATGGTGGTGGTGATTTTGATGGTGATAATGGTGATGTCATGATAGTAATGATGACAACCATGGTAGTGGTGATGATGGTGATGATGGCAACATTGATGGTGATAAGAATGATGATGATGGTGATGATTTTGATGGTGATGATGGTGATGTCATGACGGTGATGATGATGGTGGTGGTGTTGGTGATGGTGATGATTGTGGTGATGATGACGGCATAGATGCTGATGATGGTGATGATTTTGATGGTGATGATGATGGTGGTGGTGTTGGTGATGGTGATGATTGTGGTGATGATGACGGCATTGATGCTGATGATGGTGATGATTTTGATGGTGATGATGATGGTGGTGGTGTTGGTGATGGTGATGATTGTGGTGATGATGACGGCATAGATGCTGATGATGGTGATGATTTTGATGGTGATGATGATGGTGGTGGTGTTGGTGATGGTGATGATTGTGGTGATGATGACGGCATAGATGCTGATGATGGTGATGATTTTGATGGTGATGATGATGGTGGTGGTGTTGGTGATGGTGATGATTGTGGTGATGATGACGGCATAGATGCTGATGATGGTGATGATTTTGATGGTGATGATGATGGTGGTGGTGTTGGTGATGGTGATGATTGTGGTGATGATGACGGCATTGATGCTGATGATGGTGATGATTTTGATGGTGATGATGATGGTGGTGGTGTTGGTGATGGTGATGATTGTGGTGATGATGACGGCATTGATGCTGATGATGGTGATGATTTTGATGGTGATGATGATGGTGGTGGTGTTGGTGATGGTGATGATTGTGGTGATGATGACGGCATTGATGCTGATGATGGTGATGATTTTGATGGTGATGATGATGGTGGTGGTGTTGGTGATGGTGATGATTGTGGTGATGATGACGGCATTGATGCTGATGATGGTGATGATTTTGATGGTGATGATGATGGTGGTGGTGTTGGTGATGGTGATGATTGTGGTAATGATGATGGCATTGATGCTGATGATGGTGATGATCTTGGTGGTAAAGCCATGATGCTAATGGTGACTATGATGGTGATATCATAATGATGATGACCTTGATGCTGGTTATGCTGGTGATGTTAATGATGGTGATGATAATGATGGTGATGATGGCGCTGGAGATGATAGTGATAGTGATGATGCTGGTGGTGATGGTGATGATGGTGACAATGGAAAGGCCCTCAATGAACTGGCCAATGGTCTAGGCCCCTTCTCCTTCCCATTCTAGGCAAGCTGGACACAGATGTACCATTTGCTTGAGTTTGGTTACAATGACGTTGAGTTAGGCCTTTGGAGCACCCTTTCCTTAACGTAGTCTTCTCTCAGAGAGAGGCAGAGCTGCTTCCCTTTACCCAGGTGTCACCCTCACTCTATTTGAGGGTCTTCCTCTGCCTCTACATCCCCGTCCCTGTAACGTGCCTCTCTAAACTTCTGAGGGCTGGTTGGTTGGCGTGTTTATTGGTGGGTTTGTCGGTAGATTGGGTGGTGGTTTGGTGGATGTGTTGGTTGTGGTCTGTTAATAAGATTGTTGGTTAATGGGTTAGGGCATGCATAGATTGACGGGTTTGATGCTCAGCTGGTTGGTGAGTTTGTAAGTGGCTTGATTGGTAGGCTTTTGTTTAGTATTGGTGGGTTGCTTGGTAAGTTAGTTAGATGTGTTTAGTTGATGGGTTTGTCGGTAGGATTGCTGGTAGGTAAGTTTTTTGGTGGGTTGGTTAGGAGGCTAACAGGTAGTTTTGTGGGTTAGTTGACAGATTTATTGGTAAGGTTGTTAGTTGGTAGGCTGTTAGGTGGGCTGGTGGGTAGTTTTGTGGGTATTTTAGTTGGTGGTTTTGTTGGTTGGATTTATTAGTTGGTGGGTTTGCTGGTGGGTTTGTTTATGGCTTACTGTTGGGTTTGGAGATAGGCTTGTTGCTTGGTAAATATGTTAACTAGTTGCTTGATGGGCTGGGTCAGTGTCTAGATACCTCTCCATAGGTATTTGAGCTGCATTAGCACAGGGACAGAATCCTGCAGGGTCCCCACAGTGATTGACACTCAGAGAAAGCCCTGAGCCTGGTAGAAAATCAGTGACTGCTATCTGGCTCTTGAGCTGCTGGTCCCTAGCCTGGCACGCCTGCGGGAAGCTGGCTTGTGCTCACTCAGCTGTTTATCTGACATTCCACTCTGGCTGTCTAGTTGGAGAGCAGGTCACAGGTCCAAGCAGCACCTGAGCACTTTCTCTTCCATGCTCTGGCCAAGAATAGTCTCCATGGATGGCCTTATCTGGGACCATTTGATTTGAACAAGGATTGTGCTCACGACCCAGATACTGGGGTGGGGTGCTCAGGGAGCTTTTGAAATGGGGCTCATGTCCCAATGCTCCAAAACCATGATCTCGAAGCTGGGTGAATACAGTCAGCATGAGGGTTCTGATGACAGGCATGTAAGGACTTGCTGTGGGCTGAGCATGTGACCTGCATCCCCCTCCTGGCCTTTCAACTAAGGGAGGTGTTGCTTATCAGTACTACTGAGGAGACAGAGACCTAGGAAAGGAACAAAAGTAAATTAGCCCAGTGCTTGCCGATGGCACTTAGCCCTTCGCCCCAGGTCTCTCAAAGCTGCAGGAGGTTCGGAACAGGTCTGATGCCAAGTTCCCAGCCTGGGGGCCAGAGGAAGTTGGGCCCCTTCAGTTTTTCCCTGAGGTTGAAAAACCTTATTAAAATATAAAATTTTCCAGATGGTTCCTACAGCTATTCTAGCAGGAACAGTAGCTGGTGTGCTAAGATGTCAGGTTTCAGAAACTGCAGCTTATCTTCTAGATGTCTTGAACAGAAACCTGTGCACTGGGGCTGGAGAGATGGCTCAGTAGTTAAGAGCACTGTCTGCTCTTGCAGAGGACCTGGATTCAGTTCCCAGCACCCACATGGCAGCTAACAACCATCTTTAACTCCAGTTCCAGGGGAGTCTGATGCCCTCTTCTGGCCTCTGCGGGTATTGCACACATGGGTACACTTAAACATGCAGGCAAAACAGTCATATATATATATATGTATATATAATTTGCCCAATGCTTTCAGTGGGTGAGTGCTACAGAGCTCAGGGCAGCAGGGAGATGGTATGTGCACCTCTGCCCTGGCAATGACCTTGGCCTGATCACCTTCTCTCAGGGGGCCCCAGTGAGGGATCTGAGGCCCAGGGAAGCACCATAGTATGTGGTATGCCAGGGCCTCAGGGCATCCTGGCTAAGCTAAGCCAACCCTAGCTCCTTACCCACAGAGCAGGGCTGCAGGTTTGGGGTCTCTAACAAGTTCAGTCTGCCAATCTAGATGGCAGGTTCTCACACGTCATAGTGACGGAATCACAGGGTCCCAAACATGCGCTAAGCATCACTCTTACATGTTTGCAAGGCTGTCTGGGAAAACAATGAAGGGGCCGTGAAGTGTCTTCTGTGGGATGAAGCAATATAGTGTGTGGAAAAGTAGACTCCAGCGCCCTAGGTGCGCTCATTAGTGTCTCTCCCCTGGATGGCTGTTTAAATTGGGTCACATTCCCAGAAACACCGATCAGTTATTAAGAGCTGGCTCACTTTATTGCAAAAGGCTGCTATTTACAGTTGGCACTGCAGGTGGGAGGAATCCCTGGGCAAAACTAGACAGAGCTCTGACAGGCGTTGACGTGTTGACAGAGCTTAAACTATAAACACAGCTGGCCGCAGTGGGGAGAAAGGCCTCTAGTTTACACCAAAATTCCCCAACAGCAGCAGCACCCCACACCAGTGGGTTGTTACCACACTTTGTCATCTGTGACAACTTTCAGAGTGCATGGCCCAGGAGCATGTGGGTGACTGTAGGCAAGCCAGCTGGAGTGTATGCGTCCATCTCCCCCAGCTGACATTCTGATGGACGGTAAGGCCAGCGGCAAGAGCCTGGTCGCCCATCTGCTGGGGCGGTTTCATTCTGCAGTAGAGAGTTACATTGTAAATACTTTCAAATTGCAAGAGACAGTGTTGAAAGGAAAGCCTGAGAGACAGGGCCTGGGCTGCTGGGGCGGTAGGGCTGTCTACGAGGGGGCAGCATGTTTCCTACATGTGCCCGGACACCCACAACCTGTCTGTTGTCCTCTTTCAGAGTGGACACCATGGTGGATCTGTTGGACATGGATCATGTGAAGAGGTCAGGCTCTATGGAACAGAGGCTGGCCTCCCTGGAGGAACAAGTAGGTTGGAGGTTGGCGTCTGGTGTGTCACTTTGTGGTGTGGTATCATCATTGAGAAAACAATGGAAAGAATTCGGGGAGTTTAGGGGTGCATGCGTGTGTGTGTGTGTGCACGTTGGGTGTTCAGTGCCCACTGGAGGAAGCACTTTCTTTATTCTCTAGAAAATTCCATCCAAGCCTGCTGCAGTTAAGCTTCCCTGGGTTTGTACTATGAGGCATCTGTGTTACAGGGCATGGACCCAGCAATCCTAGTGTGCACCTGGCTCCTTTCTCCATTTGGGGGTACCTCTGAGACACTGTATCTTGGGACTCTGTCCTAACCCTGATTGAAACCAGAGGATCAGCTGTACGTTCCCCTCTGAGGCAGCATCACTCAGCAGGATGCCCGGGTCACGTGGAGAGTGAGACCTGTACTCAGAACACCAGCCACATGTTGTGTGAACCTCCAGTGCCAACCTAGTCTCTCTTGGACTATCCCTTCCAGGTGGCCCAGACGTCCAGAGCCTTGCACTGGATTGTGACATCCCTGAAGGACAGTCGCTTTGGCTCGGAGGCAGGCGTGCCAACCCTGGGTGAGTGGTGGCCTGTCGGCAGCTGTCTCCAGTGGTCTGGATGGTTTTGAGTCTGGGGTAGATTGGGAGGAGAAACAGCGAGGGGCTTGCAGCTGTCTCCATGTCCTGTGGGGGGCGGCCCTCACTCCCACCCCTGAGATAAACAGCTCTCATTTACACAGGCATCCAGGCTAGCCCACTGTCCTGGATTGAGCAGGCAACTGGACTCCTAGGGGGCAGCATGGCCTGCCTTTCCAGCCTCCTACGTAGCTTGCACAAAGTCGGGGTGTTCCAGGTGACTGAGGCCCTTATGTCAGCTGAAGGACAGAAAGCAAAACCCATTTCCCTACCCATGCAGCCAGTCAGGAAATGGACCCCGATGACCCTCCTTGGCCGTGGCTTCTCCAGGGAGCAAACTGGCCCCCACTGATTGGATTTGGGTCTCCAAAGCAGCCTGTGAGGTTAGCTCACTGTTGAGATCTTAACACTGCTGTGGAGGCAGGTGTCTGACACTGACCTGTCCCCATCTTTGTTGTCCTCCCAGGGCTGAGGTGGTCAGGGGACGCAGGACTGGTATTCACCTGCGTGGCGGTTTGGTCCTGGAGGTAGAGGCTGCCTGGGCACTGGCAAAGGAGCAGGAGGAAGCTCCTGAGCCACAGACCCCTCCTGAGCACCAGCCTGGTTCTGTATCACACTCACATGACTGTTTCTAGCACCCCAGAAGGCCTGCGATGAGCCAGATGCTGAACTGAGCATCAGGAGAAAAGTGGAGGAATCAAAAGACTGCTACCACGTGAATGCCCGGCATCTCCTGTATCCCGGTGTCCCCATCGTGCGATTCCCTGTGCCCAATGAGAAAGTACCCTGGGAGGTGAGAGCCACCATCCCCATGTGCCCCGTGGGAGGAGGCATTAGACTCTGGGGTGGGGAAGAGGCACAGCGCCGCCCCCCCCGCCACTGCAGCCTCACTGGGCATCTGAGCCCTTGACAGATGAGGAAGCAGGCTACACAGAGGCCAAGTCACGAGCCACACAGTTATGATATGGAGGGTGTCTGGTGGGTATCCTGGCCCCATGGAGTCACAGCTCAAGGCTGCTCCTGCAGCTCTTCACCTGCCCCAGCTGTCCTGGCCCTGTCACATTCATCTCTCCTTGTTCTAGACTCCATGGACCCCACTGAACAGCCACCATCCTCTCTGAGTGTTAGACACAGAGACATCCACACAGAGAGAGGGATAACAGCCTTGGGGAGGTCCACCTTATCCTTTCAGATTTTCTCTCTTTCAGTTCTGGACCATTCCTGGGAAGGATCCTTAGGCTGCACTCCTGTTTCAGACAGTGCTTGGGCTGGTCCCATTGGGGTGTCCATCTAGAGTGTCCATCTCTTCCTCAGATCTGCCACAGCCGGGAGCTGTCCATGCACACTGTGGGGGGTGGTGTTTGGTCCTAGCTGGGCAGTGGCCTTCATTGGGCGCATACGTAGTACCCAGGCCCAGCTTCCCTGGGGGTAGAGTACCTGAGGAAGCCTACTTGCTTTGTTACAGACGGAGTTTCTGATTTATGAACCCCCCTTTCACACAGACGAGAAGAAGGATGTGACCCTCACGGACCCTGTGGGAGAGTGAGTGGCCCTTTCCCCAGAGGGACCCCGGAATTCACCTGGGGCCAGGCAGACACAGCCTCATCTGCCCCAAAGACCCCTGGACAGTTCCTTCTGCCCCTAGTACAACTCATTAGCAATGGACATGGCCTGCGGCCAGAGGCCCCTCTCTGAGGCGAGGCCTGTGGTCACTACAGCTTGGCCCCCAGCACAGGCCGAGTTCCTGCCCTGTGTCTCTGCTCTACCGCAACTTCTCTCACAGGGACGTGTCCTCTTGCTTGCCCCAGCACTGCAGAGCCGCTGTCCAAGATCAGTTACAACACTGTGGATGGACCAACGGACCGCCGCAGCTTCCATGGGGTCTACGTAGTCCAGCGTGGGCTCCCCTTGTGAGTGTACCCAGCCCCCGCTGGCCCTCAGTGACTGCCCTCTCTGGGAAAGCGGGCATTTTTTTCCTGGTAAAAACAAACAACAAAAGAAAGGGAAACCTTAACTTGCAGCGTTTCCCTAGAGCCCCTGCACAGAGCCTTTCTTTGCTACCCACTGAGGAGGCTCCTGGATCTCCCCAGCAGGGCTCCCAGGTGCACTGGTGTGTTGGTCCCCAGGGACCTTGACTCATGGTTGGAAACCACGGTCCCACGTGAGGAAAGCACTCTGCTGCTTGGGGTGGGTAGCCAGCGGGCCCATGCAAGGGATGGTAACCTTGCCCAGCAACTATGACGGGTCCTTAGCCCCAGGCACAGTGAGGGACTCAGAATGATGACAGCATGTGACCCATGAATACACCTCTGGACTCCCGACTGGGATGTGGGTGACAGAGCTGAGGGGCCCAAAGGAAGGGGAAGCAATGGCAGGCCTTCGGAGAGTGTTATGGAGCAGAGAGTGGGTTACTGTACATGGAGCCAGAGGCTGTGTAGGTATATACAAAATGGAGACCAGGCTTAGCAGCCCTGGCCTGGATGTCCTCATGCGTAGGGCCATGAGGGATGGGTTCGAGA